CTTCTAAGGATAGTGCATAATTGGATATCTATCACGATAGTAGTCGCCACATGTATATGTCTGTATCGTAAAATGCTAATCACTACGCACTGAAACCAGATACCGTTCTACTCAATCACACAGCACGCTCAGCCAATCCTCAAACCCCAAAGACGAGGCAGCATCGGCTTCCCCGCTGACCTTCCGTTGAGACTGACTTGTATTCCCACATAATTGCAATTAAAGCCCTTCGAATTCCTCAACTACCAAGCCTCGGATCTCGTACCCATAGCTACGGCAAGCACCGAAATCGCCAATTAATCTGCCCAGTATCTGAGACGGTCTGGACTTGCGGTTTCTCCCTTCATCCTACCATCTCACTGGTATTGGTACAGAGTATCTAGCTTCGCATTCCGCTCTCCCCGAACGGCATCCTGCGTGAACGATTCGTTAGCAAAGGATATTAGACAAGCAAACTTGCTTCTTCCCTCCCATTCCCAATCCCCTCATTCCTACAATACAGGTACCGGTGCGAATAGAACAGACCTACCCGCTTCCGCCTCCATAGCCTTGAACAGATCATTCCAGTCTGGTATACACTTCCCCCTTACGGCGTGACCGAAACCCGTCGTCCCAAATTAGGCGCGTCGAAGCGTGCTAGAATGTTGGTTTTTCCTTCTACCAACTTCTGATCGTCCGGGTAATGCTTTGTTTGCTTGAAACATCCGCTACCGGAGAAAATCATGGACTGAAAGCGCTGCTTTTGTGCTATTAAGTGTATTTTTGTGTGGCTTTCTTAGATCTTCGAATGAGCGCCTCTGAATAACACTTTGAGGCTTTGTTGAATGCTACCTTCCGCCTCTTTTTGAAGTCGTGTCGAGGAAATACTACCTTTGACGATGTCAATGGTCAATAGTCAACAGTCAGAGGAGGTCAATACCCGAGAACCTGGTTGACAGATTCTGGTTCCGAGTTGTCTCAATGAAACTATAGTGATCCGCGCATTACCTAGGTATGCAGGTACACAATTTCCCCCTTCGCGGTTGTAGATCGTACTGCGAACCACAGGAGGGTTGAGACGTTTTTTTGGTACTGTACCTGACTTTGGTGCGCGGTAGCGATATGAGGGACCGTACCGTGAGGCTGGGTGCAGGTACGAGGCCCAGGTACCAAATCTGGTGCAAAATTTGGCAGATGAGGCTATTTGGCAGAAGGTGTGTTCTACGGCTGCTTTCGGGGGAAATGCTTCGACGGTTAATGAGCTTGCTTTTCTAGTCGTCACGTAAACTTTTGGATCTTCGAGTCGATGGAATGGCAGTTTAGCCTTGGGTTCGTCTCGATTATCCGGCTCTTACGCGGGCAAAAAGTGTCTTTTTGTTTCACTCTTCGGCGTCGAGGCTGGGGAACCATTGGCTTGGCAATCAGTTTTCTTTTCGCTCAGATCTCGGAGAGATGCGAAGATTCCAAGGTTGGGTCTGAATAGACGAAGAAACTCGTCTTGTTTCAACTGCAAGTGTACCATAACCTGAAAGTAAACGTTGTATCTCCCAACACCACGTTTTTCCACATGACGTATTGTATATCTTTACGATGAGATATGATTAGTATGCATGACAGAAAGCGCGAGCTTCTTCGTAGCTATGACAGCTATGTGATCTGAGCGACAGCGGGCCAAAGAAGCCCTTGAACAAGCGGGAGCCTTGTCGAGCGGATCGCCAATATCCACGATGCTTGCTTCTTGCGCATATCATATTTCCGGTGGTACTCCAGGGAGAGCCGGTTTGGTCCGAGAGCCTTTGCAAAGCGGGTAAAAGCTCCATACGCCAGGTCGATGCTCAAGAAAAGAATGGAGATCTTCACACATACCACTGCCCACAAACGACGCCGTCGAGAGCGGCTGTCTCGGTTGCCGCGGTCCATCAGATATTGTGGTGTTGGAGGCGTTGGAAACCACCTGGCGCTAAGCTGGTACATTACCTAGCGTTGTATGAGTGATCTTGCCAGAAAAACAACAACAATAAGATTTGCATACGCAATAGTAGTGACAACAAACCCCGCTTGTCCATCTAGTCAGCCGCCACAAGTCCAAGAGATGCAGAAGCCAAGACCTGCTCAATTGTCATCGCGAATACTACCTGAACAAACACCTCAATCCCTGAGATCCAGGGTCAATTGTATTTACCGATCGCGGATCTACCCCTGCACTTAGTTAAACTCCACAAGATCGCAGCTTTCCGCAGCGTGTAAATGGAGACGGCGTTGAATGCCGTTTGACCTTAAACCATGCTCTCATTCCTTTTCCAATATTCCCCATCGAAATCGTCCCCAGTATTCGTACCAATTGACCCAAGTCGGTCCGAATGACACAGTAGAACTAGCCGCCCATGCGACAAGACGACGCGAATCAAACGATCCCAAACCTCGGGATACGACACTAACACCAGACTAGCAGCTCCTGCGATTGCAAACGGCGCTGTGACTCAACCTGCATTGCATCGGGAGCGACATGTGAGGGCTCCACTTTGCAAGGTTGAACATTTGCATGACGAGATTCCCATGCCAGCTCGATGGGGTAGGAGATGGTGACGGGTAAAGCGAGAATCCATGTCAAAGGGAAAAAGTAAACGGAGGCGCGTCCCAGCCATACACGTCCCTCGGCTCGTTGCGCAGCGGGCTTGTATGGATGGATGCGCTATCCGACAACGTATCATAGTTGCATTTTCGGCGCGTGATCGAGAGGAGATTGGTTAGAATGGGGGAAGAAAGGGTCCAGCCACATTACACGTCGATACCAGCAATGATTATTGCCCTTTCTTGGTACTCGTCAGCTAGAACCCTGGAGGGACCAGATGGGCGAAATTACCCAGATAGCCGGAATGCTGTCTTACCTTGCGGCAGCGGTGTACCTACTTACCGTTCTTGCAGGGGGCCCTATATGCCCAGCTTACTACGCGAAAATCATTCGTGGTTCTTGTATGGACGGTAATAGTTGCCGCTGCGATGAGGATCCATGTGACAATCTTGTTGAGATTCACATATGCAGGTCATACCTACAGTACATATGCCGAGACCCTGGGAGCTTATACGATGCTATTCCGTGCTCACGAGTATAATCCAATTCCATGATGCAAGTTCAGAGTGGATAAAGATCAAAAGAGGCATCTCTGCTCCGGCGCCGTTCAACTCACTCAGTTTACATGAGGATACGACCCCGAGAAACTTTCCAGACATATGCGACGCAATGTTGTAAGCGAGATGCGTTACCATGTAACGTCTGCTCTCCGCACCGCAAAAGCAAAAGCGCCCTTTGCCAGCGGGAAGGAACAGATCCGCGGCCATCACGTGGCCGCGGAGTCCAAGTCAGATTTGTGGCTTGCGATGGGAAAAGCAACAACTCATGCGTCCTGGCGGTGGGTGATCGTTAGGCCGTTGAGACGAGACGACGGGGTCGGCAAGGCAGACGTAACCGTGCATGCTGACCGATGAGTGCCCTGTCAGCACAGAAGAAAGCATGAATATAATCTTATCCGATATACGTTGAGCCGCAATCTTAGGCCACCTTCACTGCGGTCATTTGGGAAAGCCGCCGGAGTAGATCCGACAGGTGGAAGAAACAGTGGACTGCTTGGCTGACTGCGTAGTCTCGCCCACGGATCCGACGATGAAGGAACCGCAACAGCAATAACGTCAATATCGTGTATCGTCTGGGCATTCCGGACAGTGCGCTTTTAGACTTTTGGTAGCTGGTAGTATAGCTTGCTGCGCCAGATACCCGAGCCATCGACTCCCTTTCGCGCGAATCGATGATGCATCGGGGTCTGAGCTCGGTCCAGTGCAGCCGTCCGCTCCCGCACCCGGTCTTTGTGTCGTCCATGTGTCGCAGAACCCATGTACCATGTCGTTCTTCATGCTTAGACGCACGTCGTCATGTAGTTAGCTGACCCTTGGGGGATTCGAGATGCCGAGCATACGTGCAGATGCACGAAGCGATTGGAGTACGCGGAGCGACATGACACATTCTGACACTCTGGGGTGCAGATGTCCGAGACAAAGCCATCTGCTGTTCAAACATGGTTGCAAACCCTGCCTGGTCCCAATGTCATCTTCGCATGGTCAAGTGCGCTACGTGTGGTCACGACGCTACGCCAAGTATGGAGTGTAAATCGTATTCGCGCAATGGAGTAATATTATTAGTAAGGAAAGGATATGTCAAGAAGATCCTTCCTGCTATGCGTTCCGAACCCTACATGGTGCGCATATCCACATGTTCCTCCAATGTACCGGTGCAGCAGCTTGCGGGAAGCTTAATGCGTATCCCTTCAACCATGCAAATAACTGCAAATCAGCAACTAAAAAACACGAAACAAGGTGTTGGGGAATCTGGGGGAATCTTGTGCAAAAAGCTATAACCAAAACCACCACGGACGAGACGACTGTGACGGGGATCTGCTAATACTGACAAGGAATGCGAAGAAAGACAATCTGACAATCTGATCCGAAGCAACGTTACCAAGTGATGCTAGAAATGAATCTCCTTCAAGTATCCCAAGCACTCGTGCCCGCAAATCCATGCAAATACTACCAAGCCTCAAAGTACTGTGGGGTATCCGTGCGATGCGAAACAGCAGGTGAACGGACCTCCAGGTATCATCGACGAATGCAAAGTACGTTCCAAAGCCGCCAGGAGGAAACAATGACCGAGCCTATAAAGGTGAGAAGAAAAAAAGAAATGGTACCGTGTACCCCATCCATCATCCCTTCGTATTGTCATGTTCGGTGCTTGGCGTGTTCGTCACCGTCTCGTGGGTCGTGATTTCATTGTTGCTGGTGGAGCGGGGAGCGGAATGAAAAGCAAGATGGAATGAGCCTAGTGTACAGAGTGCGACGGAGAACGAGTAGCGGGAAGCTTATGGCGTCGATCGGAACGTGAAGAACACAAGATCATCTCTGATGCTGGATTAGAACGCTATCAGCGAATTGATAGTGGGTTCCCACGGTTGAAGGTAAAGTTTTGACATCTCCTAGTATGTCGACCATCCTCCTTGTTGCTGAGCCTGTGGTGGTGCCCAACCAGGCATACCAGGCTGTTGAGCGGCAGCGCTCTGATGCTGCATGAACTGGTGAGGACTTGGACTAGGCTGGTAGGGGTTCTGCCCCATGGCTTGGTATCCAGGGTCTCCTCCGGGCATAGAACCGCCCATAGCACCCATAGTCTGATACTGTTGGACAGGTGTGCCATGCATCGATGCACTGCTTTGAGCATGATGGAGCTGTGGCGATGCATGCATGGGAGACTGTTGCGGGAGCGGAGATTGCTGCGGTCGTTGCGCATATTGCTGCATGTTGTGCTGTTGTGAGAGCGGGGACGGCTGTGGTGGTCCTTGCCACATGTGTGATGGAGGGTAGCCATGTCCTGGGTTCTGTTGAACACCTGGAAGCATGCCTCCAGGGCCCATGCTGGAGGCGTTCATGCCCTGCTGCATGCCGATGCTTGGTGGGCGACGGTGCATCTGGTCAGGGCGGAGTGGGGTGTGTTGCTGAGCCATGGGCGAAGGCACCATGTTGTTCTGGGGCATGGGCTGCGGACGGTAGGCTTGAGCGCTCATCGACTGTCCAGGTCTTTGCGGTGTCTGTGCTGGCATTCCGTACTGGTTCCCTGGCATGCTGACGGCAGTCGAAGGCATGCGCGGCGACTGCACGGTCTGGGTGACTTGGGGTGCGTGCTGTCCTTCGGCAGTTCCAGGTCGGTCTGGCTGGACCGGCGGCTCGTGGGGTCGTTGCCAGACATCGTTGAGGTAGTCTTTGCGATGCTTGCGTTGTTGCTCGAGCTGCTTGTTGACTTCAGCTGTTTGCGCAGCTGCGTTGAGGATCTCGCCGGACGGGGTTGGCCGTGTCAAGTCCTGATAGGGGGCGCCCTGCATCTCATGTCGCGGCCGCTGAACGCCACTGTAGTCTCGGGGCTGCAGGTCAGCCGTTGTGCGGTTGTATGCGTCAGCGTTTGTGGAAGGCATGCTTCCTGGTGCGGGGTTGAGACCACCGAAAGGCTGCAGAGGGTTAATGGCAGCACCGAGGTAGTCTTGGTTGTTGCCGGTGTATGCTCCTGGATGAGCAAAGGCCATGGCACTTGCGTGGTTGGCTTCGGCTGCGGCTGCCTCTCTTGCTTTTGCAGCACCTGGCCTCTTCTCGCCCGCAGCGTCCTCCTCGGTAAAACCCTGCTTCCGAGCCTTGCTCTCCCAGTAATCGTCGCGCACGCGCCGGCCGTTGACAATCAGTCTGCTTCCGAACTGTCTGAACATGGATCGGGCAGTCACTATGGCAATCTGTCTGGATCGGTATGAGTATGGTAGAATCTCCTGGTGGATTAGGTCGTCCTTCTCGGCCTGGGTGGCAATAATTTTATATAGAGATCGGTTCTTGTTGAAAAGCAGGTACGAGTCACGGTAGCCCAGGACACGCGCGCATTCTGTTGCGAGCATGAAGAGCTTGTCGGCCCTGTTGGGGACGAAGAAGGTGCGACAGCGGTATTCGCGGCCGTCGAGTGGGTGGCCGGTCTGCGTAACCTTCCTCTCGCCGGCCTCGTCGATTTCGCGCGGTATGTATTCGTCGCCCTCGGGATTTAGCTGGTCGGTCGTGTGGTCGCGCACCGTCGGCAGCGCCTTTATGACGGCGGGCTTGGTGGGCGTTCCTTTGCCGGAGGGCGAGATCTGGGGAGGCGATCCTTGGGGCAGGGCCGATGTCTGCAGCTGGGGTGTCTGTACGGGCGGCGCGATGCCACTCTGCGGAGGCTGGGAGCCACGGTTGGGCGATCCGGCGTAGGGGGGTCTGGCCGTCTTGGGCGGGCGGCCGCGACTGCGCTTGTTGTTGGGCGTGTCATCGCCCTGGATCTCGTAGGGGGTTTCTGGCGAGCGGCTGCGCTTCAGGCCTCGCGATGCCTGCTGTTGCTGTGCGACGGGCTGGGTCGGGCCTCCGAAGACATCTGGGCTGGGTCAACAAGAGGTCGCGGGAGGCTGCGTCGGATGTAACAGACGCGCAAGCCAGTGAACAGCTGGGAGAGGGGGACGCGACTACTTACGCGACGGGTCAATGGTGCCAGGCGGGTCCATGATGCCGTTGGCAAAGCCACCATTCGACATGATTTGTATAGGGTGTTGCACATGCACTGAGTACATCCAGGCGGCGCAAGAGCAACCGAGCTCGAAGGAAGCTTCCGTCGAGCGTCGCGAAGCTCAGAGGGTGGCCAATGGGCGCGGCGCAGTCAGGACAGCTGGACGCACGGGAGTCGGCAGCGGTCGCTGGGGAGCATGTGTTGGAGGCGATGGGAGCAGTGTCGTGTCGGCGCGGTCGAACCAAGGTTCAAGTTCGGCAGGTGCGGGTGGGGCCAAGACTCGCCGGGAAGGCGCGTTCGGTCGGGGAGGGCAGGTGCGTCCCAGCAGCGCAGCGAGAACAGCGTCGCGGAAAATGCCAGAACAGGTGGTACAAACGCAGTGTTCCGAATCCGACGGTGCTCGCGGATCGATACAGGCTAGGACGCGGTTAGGTTTGAGCTTGAGGTGACGGCGCGCCCTGGCAATAGCAGAGACACGACACGTGCAGGCAGGCAGGGACAGACACTGCGAGCAGCCGCTGTAAGGTGACTTGCAGGGCAGGACAGGTGTCGGGGCGAGCGAACGGTTGGGGGGAACGAACCTTGGGCGGTGCAGGCTGTCTAACCAGCGACAGGAGCCCTTGGTGCAAGATATGTATGGGCGGCTGTGTGGGCGTGTGGGCGATTGGCGCGGCGGCGTGAGCTGCGAGTGCGGGAGCAAAGACCACTGGGTGCTTCTGCGAGCGACGGACTGGGAATCGGGTTATGGTGAATTACGAAATGGGAGCGAGGCCCAATCTGATATGCCCTGCAACCCCAGCAGCTGACGGCCCGCGCGGCGGACGTCCAAGTCGTCTAGTGAGCAAATGGCACGCACTGACAATGGCGACAAGCTTCAGGCAGGAGAGGCGCTGCGCTCTGCTAGCTGCAGTGTGATAAAAAGTGGCTCTCCCGCGGCCCTGCACGAGCCGGTGGCTTTTCACTACCTCTTGAGCGCACGGAGCCGAACAGCATTACTTGCATCATGCTGCGCGATAGCGACCACTAGCCTGGATCTCGCTGAGCGATTCCGTCTCCACCGCGACAGGCCAAGCACCCGCGCGCGCCGGGCCTTGCTCTCTATCACGGCCAGTCTGCGCGAACGCGAGGCCTGGGTCATCAGCGCTGCCTATCCACCTCTCCCCAGCGACTCCCCACCACTCACGAGCCCGCCAGCTGCTGATTGAGCAGCTCCCGACAAGGCGACCGTGTCAGCAGGCTGCTATCGAATCATTGATTTTAGACCCGTGGGCCTGCAGCGCGCCCAAGACAGACTACCCAGGCCTGCATTGGCGGCCGCCGTCGTCATGCATTCGACCTTCTCTCTCTATCAATCAACCCGTATCGTCTGACTCCCCCAGCGCCCGTCGCCATGCTACCCCAGCCCGCTCCTGCTTGCCGCAACAGCCGAATAAGGAAGCCCGACTTAATTGCGCTGCATCGGTCAACTACTACTCGTATTCCCGCTACTCCGTCGCGACGTCTAAAAATGCTGCGCTGATCGCCGACCTTTGCCTTTGCTTGTGCAATTCGTTTTCCTCTAGCATTTCCTAGGCCGAGTGGAGGCTCGTCCTCTCGTAGCGCCGTCGGTCTTCGCGGGCCTATGACCAGCTGCTGCAGCTGAAAGCTCAAGCCGATCCATTGCACCGGAATCGCTTCCTACCAGACACTGCTCTCTAGCCCGCGCATCCAGTTACAGCGCTTGGACGCTTCGATATTCATTCTTCGTTCCGTGTGGACAGCACCCTCATCGCAGAGTTGGCGATCTGTTCCACCAAGCGACCCGTTCCCCGCCGAACCAACAAGGGCACATGTCGACATGACCCTTGGCCTGCCCGTGCTGTAACCGATCCCCACCATGCTACCTTACCCATATCTCACATCCCTTCCGCAGCTCGCGCCACTACCTTAGCGGGAGTCGAAACGCCATGTCCGTTCGTCTTGCCTGTCTTGAGCGCTTGCTCTACCTAATCCCGTCCGTGCGCCGTGCCCTTTGACATGCTCTTGAAACTACGCGAGTGCAAGACGTAATCTATTCAGACGGAGAACACACTGTGTCTTCCTGTAAGCCGACGATGCCGGCACCCGCTTCGGCATGCTGGAAGCGCGCAGCCTTTCGCGTCTCTTTCCTGACGCGTTCTCGGGAGGCTGTGCCACATTGTTCCATGTCTTAGACCCTGAGGCCAAAGTTTGTCATCTGCCTCTCACTGCAGGGTCTAAACCGATTTAGAAACGTTGCCATTCTTTGTTTGCTAGAGCCTTTGTTGCGTCCGAACTCGGTACTCTCCAGTGGGGTACGAAGAAACAACACGGCCGATCAGTCTTCATCTATGGAGCCATGTTGATAGAGTGCAGTCGCTTATATCCGTTGTCTTCGTAACCCGGAACTACCACGCGAGTGGAACATGGCTCTCTTCTTCTATGGTTCAAAATATGCCATACATGTCGTGGGTAGGAGGGCGAGAACCGCTCCGACTTCTCGACATGTCGACCCCTCGTTAGCATTCAACCAGCCTGACGTTCACCATCGTGCTACTAAACCCGCACACCGCTGTCATGACACCTGTAGCGCGCTAAATACAAGGATCGTTGAAACATTCCAATGCAAATTCAAGTATTAGACCTAGTCCATATCTTGGCGGGGCACTACCGTCAGGCTAGGATAGCTGCTTGATCATATGACAGCTGTATCCACCGTCTTGGATCCCAGCTTCGGGAGACATCAGACGCCAAGATGGTCCCACGTTCAAGTTAGATTGAAGATCGCGGCGTACGGCGGTTGTAGCCGTTCCATGATATCGAGTCCATTTCACGTCGAGACCTCGTTTCAGAAATCCGAGGTAATGGAAAGGGTAGGACCATCCACTGGTGAGTGCTTGTTCTTGCAGCCAACTGCGGATGTCCCGTAAGCTAACACTGGATATGGATTCCGTTTGGCTTCCCGTACGAAAGCCACATGCAGCGGGTCGTACAACCGTAGCGGTGAAGCACATCTCTTCTTCATCGGCTTTTGCAACACCGAAGCAAAAACAAATGTTGCTGCAACACCATGTACAAACGCAGGTCCGCTGTGTGAAAGTGTAATCAAACGTCCAGTATAGGGTTCGAGATCGTCCCCAACGGGCTCACTGTTCATGTTTCAATTTTGCCTGCAATCGCGGATCAGCTCCAACATGGTCCATTTGTGATTTTGAATCATGAAGATAGTGGGTGCTAGTGGCTTCGGCATGTCCCCAAGGCTCGCTAGAGAGTAGCTGCGCTATTGCAACCTAGAGACGAACCCCAGCCCCTTCGGATCCTCAATCCTGCCGGGCGCTGTCGTTCTTTCCATGTCAGATCATCGGCCTAGGCAAACTGCGTTCGAACGGTGAGGCGGTCCACTCCAGAGTGGGGAAGCGTGGCGAGGCTGCATCAACGTTTAAGGTAGTCGTGGCCAATCATCGGACCAGATCCAGCATTCGTTCGACGAAAAGACGGTCAGGTGCTACCAGTTGCGCCGAGGGCTTGAAAAGACCAGGGCGGTTATCGTATTTATCCATTCGTGCATCAGATGATACTCATGAACGACCCGGAGATGAGTCCAAGTAGAACGTGATGTCTGTTGAGGTCGGGAAGCCTACGCCTACCGCCTTGAGTTAGATAGTCATCCACTCCCGCAGGTGAATCGGTGGGACCTAAAGAGAGACCCACGTATCCGATGGACCATACAGCAAGAGAACAAGGCTCATGAAGTTGAGGTCTCCACCGGATTCAGTCCGATGTAGTATTGGAGGTGGAGAGTGCGGTGAATTGAGTTCCACGCGTCCATCTGGCTGGATTTCCTCTTCCGTCTTCGAGTGTCATACAGTCTTGACGCCGTTTAGATCCGCATCCCGAGTAGGATTCAAGGCAACTCGGTGTCAACACAATCAAGGCGGGGTTCAGTTGACACAACCTGTACCTGGAGTGTGAACCTCGTCAGTAATGCATTGAACATCTGCATTATACTAAAGTTGAACTGTACACAGTATTGAGTTCGCGGCATTTTCAAGAGCAAAGCTCTCAGGCGTCAACGCTTGCTAGGCGACGTTCCGAGACCGGCTCCGTCAAGTCTTACTTGAAGCGACAAGCTGCAGCACACAAGTAAGCGCGTTAGTAGCCTTCTCAGGGAGCTGCGTCATTCTCCATCAAACATGCTTCGATAGTATAGAACCGAGGAGGAGGCGAGCATACCAACACCTGCACACTACTGCAATGTATGAACGGCAGCAGTCTAGTCGCACGTAGCTCTTGGCCTGATGATAGCTGATCACTGAAACAGCATGATCGAGTACCAGAAGGGCCAGATACCCGCAAGCGGCAAGCAAGTTCTGGCTTTAGCTCAGCCGGCAATTTGTATTTGAAGCGGTGGCGAACCAACGGAGCGGTCTGATCGATTGAATGCAGAAGCGAGAAAGACGGTGAGAAGGCAATGGTGGATCGTGTTGCTGAAGCTGTTCGGCCCAGAGGTCCTGTAGGGAAGGTGCAGACGCAAGGTGGAAGCCTTCTTGCCATGTGAGCATCCAAGATCGAGCAGGCGCACCTTCTACATGCTGAACCTGGCCAACCCTCAAACACAATCTGCACTTGAAGATGCGAGTTCTTGCCTGGAGTGAGTCACAAGTATTGCCAATAGAGCCATGTGGGAACTTGGCACTTCGTGTTCAACGCTTCACGATGTGACCGTATGCCGGATATTTCAATCTCGGAAAGAGCAGCTTGGCACTAGACAATCGGCAGCAAGCACTTCTTGATTCATGTTAGATTTGCATTATCCAATATTCTGTTCCGGGACTACCTACACCGACGTAAACCCCCCTCACAGATGGTCATGATGCCCCGGATAAACGCTGCCAAAACGCCCTAAAAGTACAATTCCCGAAGTAGTAGAAGTCTTGAACGCCCCGCCTATGAGAGCGCGGCTATCGTCCGGGAGCAAGACCTGGTACTGCGCTGAAGCGTTCGTCACGCTCGGTCTTGAAGAGAATCTGGCACCAGAATTCCTTGGCGTCTTCGTCGAACCAGAACCAGAACTTGCCCTCCCGTCTGTCGATGTCGCGAGATTGTAGCTTCACCGCGACCGTCTCGTAAGGCTCACCAGCGACAATGAGGTACTGGTAGTTTGGGTCGGGTTCTTCCACCTTCTGCTCGTATGCGCTCATGACACGGACTTTGGGAGTGATGCCGGGGGTGAGGTCCGGAAATTGGAACTGGAACAGCAAGCCGTTTTGGCGTGTGTTGGGGTCGCGTACTTTTGTGATGCGGTATCCAGGCCGACCGATCTTGATGACGTTCTTCTTGGGCAGTACACCCGCGAGCAGTCCTTGCTGGCCCACGTCGTCTCTCTTGCCTTCTCTCTGCTCCTTCGCCGCACGACGTGCCAAATTTGTTTGATGCTTCCTTCCTTGTGTATGCGCAAGATAGGATCCATCGTTCTGGTGGACCGTCAAACAGAGACGGCACTCGAAGCTGCCGACGTGGTTCTTGAAGAAGTACGGGTCCTTGTCAAGGTCGATGGTCTCGAGCGCGAGCTTTCGGAGACGCTCTCGTCGGTCGGCATTTGTCGCGGACTGTGATGCGACACCACCACCTCCAAATTTGGAGCCTGCGCGATTCTGTAGACGTTAGTAGCTGTTCCTGACCTTCGCGACGGGGGACGTACCTGGTAATCCATCTTTGAGAAACTTCACGATCTGCTGTGTCAATCTTGGTCGCGATTAGACAGGAAAGAGGGTGGCTTTTACGTAGGCAACGGTCAGGTGTTGGGCGGTGTAGAAGTCGTCGTGCTGAAGTGATGTTGCGCGACAGAACTTCTGGAGGCGTGCGACGCTAGTGTCCAGGTACCTGATCCCTGCACTTCAATATCACGTGCGCGGTTGCCTCCACACATTCACCTCGTATAGCGCATGCTAGCGTCTGTGAGCTGCTTTCACTTTCTGTCCAGATGGTCTGAGATTGTATCGGATAATTACTGTACCTACGTCATTGTGTCCCTCTGTCATGGCAGATTAAACAAAAGACACGTACTGCGACCTGGACGTTTGCATCACACTTTAGCAGGTACCCACCACAAGAGAAGGAATCATCGAGGATAGTATCAGTCATGGCAACAGAAATCTACATAGGAAAGCGCCTCTCCTACGACGCTCACCTCTGCACAATCCGCTACCACGGCCCCATCCAAGGCACAACCGGCCTCTGGCTCGGCGTAGAATGGGACGAACCCACGCGAGGAAAACACTCCGGCACACACCAAGGCACCCAATACTTCAGCTGCCTAAACCCCTCCCCAACCTCAGCCTCCTTCATCCGACCAACCCGCAAACCAGACCAACCACGCACCTTTGTGCAAGCCCTAAAGTCAAAGTACGCGTCTGAAGCTTTGGAGGAAGACTTCCAGGATCCAGATGTTCATGTTGTGTTTAATCACCAGCCGCCTGTGCAGCAGAAACAGAAGCCGGTGCTGTTTAATGGGAAGCCGGCGGAGGAGATTGGGTTCGATAAGATTAGGAGGCAGTTGGCGCAGTTGGGGGAGTTGAAGATTATTATTTTGGATGGGCTTTGTATGCAGAGGCCTGAGGCACGGGGGGAGGGGTGGTTGAAAGGAGGGGAGAAGAATGATGTCAAGGAGGCATGTCCGAAAGCGATGGAACTTGATCTGAGTCGCAATCTCTTTGAAGAGTGGAGGGAGGTAGCTGCGATATGTGAACAACTGCCCGGGTTGAGAAGTTTGAGAGTCGAGTGAGTTATCGCTAAACGCGGTTTCCTCTTGGGTTTACTAATGGAAGCGCAGTGGCATACGTCTTCGCGATACATCTGTATCAGAGCCAGAGCGAGCTCGCTGTCTTGACGCCTTCAAAGGCATCACATCTCTGAAGCTAGAAGACAACCTCCTCCCGTGGGCCGACCTCGCCCTCCTAACCCACCTCTTCCCATCCGTCACCACATTCTCCGCATCCAGTAACCTCTACACAAGCCTCACCCATCACGCCCTCAACCCCACAATCACCGACCTAACACTCGAAGACAACCACCTCACCTCCCTATTCTCACTGGCCTGCCTCACAGCCCTCCCAAACCTACACCGTCTCATCCTCAAATCGAACAAGATCTCCGAGATAACCAATTCCGGGGCATCGATACCAGTATTCTCCAACACAGTCCGAGAAGTCGATCTCTCGTTCAACGAAATCTCAACATGGGCGTTCATCGAACAACTCATACACGTCTTCCCAGGTCTCCGAAGCCTGCGCGTATCGCAGAACCCGCTGTATCAGTCGTTGCAAGCACCGGATGGACGGAACTTGACAGCAGATGATGGATACATGCTTACGCTTGCACGACTGGGGCAGCTCAAGACGCTGAACCACAGTCCCATCAACGAGAAAGAGCGGTTGAACGCAGAGTCCTACTATCTCTCCATGATCGCAAAGGAAGTGCAATTCGCGCCTGAGAACCTGCGAGAGCAGATACTGAAGAGTCATCCGCGGTACGAGTGGCTGTGTGAGGAGTATGGCGAGCCGGATGTTCAGCGCTCTGTCAACGCTGTGAACCCCAACTCGCTTGCTGCGCGGTTACTCCGTATCAAGTTCTACCTTGCGACATCCACAGATGCGGTATTCGAGACGGAGATCCCGATGAGCGGCACGGCGTACACGGTTCTCGGTATTGTTGGGAAGCACTTCGGTGTCAAGCCTATGAAGTGTAGACTGGTATGGGAGACGGGCGATTGGATGTCGGTGCGGAAATCAGCGACGGACATCGTAGATGACGACTGGGATTCTGAAGATAGCGAGGCGGAGATGGGTATGGAGCGGGTCATGAGGGAGGTGGAGATCGTTCCTGGGACGCGGTCGATTGGTACATGGATCGACGGGACAGAGGCTACTGTGAGGGTCGAATTCAAGTCGTGACGACTGATTGCCGGGAAATAATCCCCTGGTTTCGAGCAATGTGCGCTTCGTTAGCAGTTCATTCAGCGGAACCACCAGTTGGCCTGTACAACCGTTAGTAAACACACCCATGCCAAGTTCCATACTGTACTCACCGAAGCATTCGCACCCTTTCCAACCCCCCTAACAGCATGCCACCATCCATTAGGAATATACAGCGCATCCCCACTCCTCAAAGTTGTTTCCCAGCCCATCGCACTCCTCATACTTCCATCTCCATCCTCATTCCAAACCGCCATTTCCATAGCCTCCATCTCCGCACCCTGCATCATCTCCTCTCCTCTCATCTTCACATCTCCGCCCGGTCCCCGTATATGCTGCCTTACAGCCTCGAACACCATCTGACCCACCCCAGGCTTCATCATCCTGATCGTTTTCTTTCCTGCCAGTTGTACGAAGAGGTTCGGGTTCGGGTCGCGATGCAATGGGGTGCGCGTAGGCGGTCTGCCCATCCAGAGACTCGATGCGTAGATATCGCCGCGGGCGTTGAGGTGGGATAGGAAAGTCGATGGCGTGGGTAGGTCTTCTTGCAGCGGCGCTGGAAGATCGGCTAGCGAGTGTTGCGCGAGGTACAAACTCGTTTCTTGCGCGTCCGCAGCACTCATGTGTTGTAATAGGAGAGCCAGAGGGGCTTCGAAGCGCTCAAAGGCTTCATTTCCGAGGGCATTTTCGGGGGATGAGCGCGTCAGCTCCAATGGCACGATCGCATCGCCGTACTGCTCGAGGTACGCTGTGTTCAGCTCTTGCGGATATCTGAATGTGTTGGGCTTATTATTCCACTTGTTTGTCAAAGATGCGTCGAGCAAGGCATCCTTCTTAAACCATTTCCGGATTGCAGGTATATCCAGAAAGGCTTTTTTGAAGAGCGCGGGTTGGTCGGGGTCGAATGCAGGTATGCTGAACTCCTTCTTCTTGTCCAGGTATTCCGTCTTCGTCAAGATCCGAAACCGCGGATGTTTTGTTGGTCGTACATCTGGCCTTCTGCTCCAATGGCGAGGAACGGCAGGGGCCGGCTTCGGCATGGAGGTTTAGACTGTCGTGTGAAGGATTGCACGGATGCAGCTCGCTCGGGAGCTTGACACGCTCTCACGTTATCGTACCCCACACGAGCAGCAAGCACCCGCCCCGCCAAAACCTGCCCCTGGTAAAGTTTACATTGTCACAAACACCAGGAAGCTCAGCGCCAGCCCACGCGACATCAGAATGGCTCAAGCTCAAGGCGCACAGCCCGGTCAAAGTAATGGTATCCAGATCCCAATTCTTCGCGCATTGTGCTAACCCTCCCTCGCAGTCGAAATCACATCTCTCCCTGTCCCCCGCCTCCAGGAACTAAAAACCCAACTCGACGCCGAACTCACCCACCTGTCCAACTCGTTCCAATCGCTGCGCACCGCCCAGTCCAAGTTCCGCGACTGCCTGAACTCCATCTCGACAGGCCTCACACCAGCCACCGTCTCGAAACCGCTCCTCGTCCCCTTGACATCCTCGTTATACGTACCGGGCAAACTCACGGATCATGAGCACGTGCTAGTGGATGTGGGCACGGGTTTCTTTGTGGAGAAGGACATTGCTAGTGCAAAGGACTTCTATGAGCGCAAGGTCAAGGATCTGGGCGACAGTTTGAAGGACTTGGAGGGTGTTGTGCAGGGCAAGGCGCAGAATGTCAGAGTCGTGGAGGAGGTCATCAGGCTCAAGGTTATGAACGCACAGGAGGGCAAGGGTGAGGAGCAGGGCAGCTGAAGTGTTGCGAGGTAATGCGCAAATATCATGTTAGAAGACCAAAAGCTGGTGTCGGATCAGCCGCACGCGGCATGTGTAGAAGCACACCTGGAGGACCATACAGGTCTTTCTAGAAGAGGCCACGAAAATTCATGGCACGAGACTGGAGTAGAGAATTTGTCATGTTGGCATGATACTATATGAGAATGAACTCCTATGCCTGACGCTCGTTCAGATCGCCTTGGATGTCTTCAAGGTACCACCTCATATAAGGAAGAGCCTGAACAGGTCTGCAGCCTACATCGAGATGAAAACATGCAAAGTAGATGACCTAACGTCAATGTAGCCTCCAGGGAACTCAGGTTTTCCGTCCTTTAGATAGCGACGCCTCCCATGTCTGTGACAGAACTGACGATGGCTGATAGCTGAAGCAGCTTGTCCATGAGGATGCGGATACCATCGCGTGGTGGTGCTTCAACGCCAGGGCCCAGATCGAGGTTCCTCATTCCGAAGTCCTCGTCCTCAACCGCGCTGGAGTAGCAGGACTGGCCGTCATCTGGCAGGAAGGTAGCCACAGTGTGACCCCAGTCGGCCTTTCGACCCACAGGGAGACGCTCAAGCTCAGCAAGATGGGTAGCCCATTCAGAGTGGCGGACACAGAGACCCCAGACGGGAAGTCTCTGTCCTGGGTACCACATGCAAGTAGCCTCAACCTTGTAGCAGGTCTGCTTGATGCCGAAGGAGTATATAGTTTCCAGACGGCCGTTCCGTAGGTGCTTCTTGACGGTAGGTGTCTGATCCCACTCAGCGAAGCTTTCCGTGGAACGATAATCGTGGTTGGGTCTCATCTTGACTCGATCAGCGAAGCCAGTGATGACAGGCGAGATGCTCTTCGCTGCCACAGGATTCAAGGACTCAAGGGCGAAGTGCCATCCTCGGCTCTCTCCAAGCTCCAGCAGATTGATATCCATGTTCTTCCTTGGTGATTTACGACCCTGATCGATTTTGTAGAACCGGGTTGTTGTCTTCTCGTACAAGCCCTCTTCGTCATCAGTCCAGTCGACCTGAACAACGATGAATTCGGACTGCGGCGCTGCGGATGGAGTGGTTGTACTAGCAGGAGCTTGGTGAGGCGCTTTAGGACGTCCAGCATGGCGCACAGCTACCGGCTCACGCGGTGGAGCAACAACGCTGCTGGGGTCTGTGAACACCCACGTTCCTCGGAACATTGGACGAGTGCCTTGCAGCGATTTTGGCGTATAACCGAAGTAGGCAGAAGACTTCGTCGGCTCCAGGAATTCATTGGCCGTGCAGAGTGCTCCCAGAATTTGCGAACCCACTGCATCATCAGCAAGCCTATGTTGTTAGCCATCATGCTAGTCCTCACGAGGGGACACACTTACCACTTCTTTATCTCAAGTGTAACGGGTCCGTTAATCGACTTCAAGAAAACCTCCTTCCCGTACTTCTGGCCGATCTTATCCTCCTTGATATGTCTTGAGCTCAGAGCCAGGCATCCTAGCCGAATAGCCATATCGTACGCGCCTTTCGTGTGACGCACAGCTTCAAGGGCCAGCTGAAACGAATGCTGGATCCTTGAGAGCTCCGTGAAGTGCATGATCTCATCGCGGAAGCTGCCGGAGGTTTCCATTATCCCACTGGAGAGGAGGCGAGGTACGACCCGGTCTTGACTGATGTTGAGCGAAAGAGGTCAGCACTCGTCTGCAGTTCACGCTTGCAATTCACGTACAGGTTCGGCCACCACGCGTCAGCCTCCTCCAGCACAACCTCCAAGCCCTCTTTGTCATCAAGAATCATGTTGATTACATGCTGCAGTCCCATAGCATCAGCTTTGACTTTGTCGATCATCGTCATGAGATGCGCTTCGGCCGCTTCGATGCGCGCTATGTCGCGGGCTGTAGATGTTAGTGTGTGTCGCATGTAGTAGATATATGATGGACCTGCCTTGTATCTCAATCTGCCAAACGTCGTTCTGAGTAGGAAGGAGCGTTATGTACACCTCGTTCTGAGTACGAATGGCGTTAAGCGCTTCTAGCTTGTTATTGAAAACATCGCGAGGAGTGACGCCTTCGTTGAGGAGGTCCTCCGGCCAGCACACGATGATGCTCGCCAGTGGCATCTCGCCTCTTGATACCTCAGGTGCCTTGCCCTTGAACTCGTCCTTCCGCTGACGCTCCCGCTCTTCAATGCTGTCGTAGTACCATTTGGTATGATCGAATGCAGGTGTCTTCGCCCATGATGATGAGTCTTTTGACTTGATATGCGCGTTAGAGATCCAGTGGTTAATGTATCGGACGGCTTTCTCAACGCCTGCACCTTGTCCAGCAATGGCGAACTGGGTGATATACCCAGCGTCCCATTTGGGGATGACATCGCAGCCAGTGTTGATCTTGATCTCGTTGACGATGAGCTCGCGCTCTGTAGTATGAGTGAGGCGACGGTACTCTGGGGGCACCGGAATGAACCTTTTTGGCTTGGGCTTGGGCTTTGGCAGAGCGCCAGTGTCCTGTCCTTCCATCGCTGCGGCTTCTTTTTGTTATGTGGAGAACTAGAAGCAGTGTCAGAGTAGCGGCGTCGGGGCGAGAGGATTGGCAGTGTTGTGGTGTTTGTCGCTGCGGAGTTAGGTCGAGGTGACTGAATTGGAAAGAGCAAACGCGCGGTGGCGCTAGTGCGCATGCGTATACAGCCTCAAAGCGCACCTACCTCGTCTCGTTCTGTGTTCAAGGTGCAAGCTAGGGAAGTGTGTGAGTACGGTTGATTTAAACCCAGAGAGCGTTGTAGTATGTTTTCGGAGCAGAGTGCCAGCGAAGGCCTCCAGGCTGTTGTGCTGCACCTCCTCTGTGATGCAAGAAGAGCTCGAACGCAGCACAATGATAGAGAGATTTCGAAAGCGCATTCTGTGTCAAGACTACTGAGGAAATCGTGTGCAATAACATGGGAAGCTTGTATGATGAAAACGAAGAGCAATTGTACTAACGGAGAGGTAGTATAAGCTGAGCACGAAACGAGTAGTGATGTGAGATGGAAGAGATCTACGATATGACGAGAGGGACCCTTTTAGTAAAGGTGAGGGGGAAGGTCTACTACTTGGAGACACGGTCGGCCTGCTACGAGGGAGGGAGAGCTCTCTCCTGCTAGAAGGGGTTGAGCACGCCACCCAAACCACACATGCAGCCCACGCGCATCTACGACAGAGAGGCTTCGAGCGATAATAAGCTGATAGACCTTTGATGTTTAGGTAGTTGGATCGTATCGCGCAGAGCTGTTGGCTGGCAAACAAAAGTGACAAGGTAGGCTAAGCAGCACATGAAAGATCACGCAATTCATCCATCTGAAATCGAAAATCATGCGGTCAAGTAAAGCGACAGACAAAAGAGTACTCCTGACAGAATATCGAGCAGGTGTGATAGAAGAAGTCGTGGGCAAGGCTACCGAAGTTGAGAAAGGCTTGGCGGACATCGGCGTTTGCGGAGCAACTCCCGATCCATTTTCTAAGCATCGCGAAAGCCATTACAAGTCGATATAGCGCATCATCGCGCTTTGCACTCCTCGCAAGCGCTGTAGTACTTCTTATCGAACCTAGGAACATTTGCGACCGCTGGCAATTGGAGAGTCTGGACCTCATCGCCCCGCCACCATGGACGCCGTGCCCATCACAAAAAAGCTGATAGCCTTCGGCAGCAACAAGATATACCTGTAGGCCACGGCGATGTCTCATTTACGCTCAAGGCTGACATGATCCAGCCCCAAATTCACAGTTGCGTTTCTTCGCACGCCCCAACTCTCCCCATACCATGCCCGCTTCCAGGTCCCGCTAGACTTCTCCAAATACGACCTCCGCGACTACCTCTACCACGCCTACAACGTCAAATGCTTCAACATCCGCTCGTACGTCAAGCAAATGCCGGTACGCGATACGCGCGAACAACCACGGCATTGGTTCCGCGAGGAGTCGAAGAAATACATGACCGTAGAGTTGGAGCAGCCATTCGTCTGGCCTGAGACACCCGACCTCGAACCATGGGGCAGGAAAGACAGGGAAAGGGAGATTCGGGATTCTGTGAAGATGGGCGGGGCAATTGACCAAAACGACACGCGGGAAGCAGCCAGGACGCTTCGAGAGCAAGTGGAGAAGTTACTACACAAGAACGTTTCTAAGCCGAATCGCGAGATACAGAAGAAGAAGGCAGCGGCTATGGAGCTTACGCCAGAGGACCTTGAGTCGGAGATATTGAGGAAGCGGGAGGCGTCAAATCTAAAGCGCATGTCAAGATTAAGGTTGTGGGCGAAGGAGAGGACAGGAAAGACCGTCGAAAGCGACAAGCCCAGGCGGTACGCGATCAAGGTTTGAGGATGATCTTACGCTGTGTATATATGCTTGTACCATACGCCTTGGGACGGAGCAGGAGATCATCAATTGATTGCCACCCATACTGATAACCTACGTGGATACTGCGAACGCTTTGACTGAGCTAATGCCAAAGCAGCCAATCGCGGAGCTCTAAGTTGCAGTCTCATTGTCTTCGCTTTTGGGGTCCAAAATGTGCATATTGACCCCTTCTTGCGTTCTGAGCTATCTAGTGTTACGCGGATTTAACGATGACGCTAACGGTCGAACAGGCAATCGAATGGCGAGGCTGGAAGGCACTGTGCCGCAGTTGCATGTAACCTCGCGCCTTCCTTGGCTGCAGGTACACTGCATAAACGACCTTCTCCGACGATTTCATTCGACCACCCTAGAGGGAAAGTAATACAAGGATGGATAACTAAACAATTGATGCGTTTTTGGCAATAGCGCTTGTGACCACGGAGTTACCACCGCTTTCCACTTACCTTATTTAAGCGCTCTAATGCTCTACTCACTCCCTTTGTTGCTTCATGTACGACCTGACATGAGCAGACTTCGCCTCCATCAAACACAATCATGTCTTTCGGATTTTCTGTTGGGGATTTCATTACTGTTGGAAAACTGATAAAAGAAACCATCAGCTGCCTACGTTCTATAGGCGGAGCTGAATCGGAATACCAAGAGCTGGTCAGAGATCTCAAAGCACTCGATACATCGTTACAACACCTTCATCAAATCGACGACGACACGAACGCATCCGCTCACGTTAGCCCGATCAAGACCGCGACCACGAACTGCAGGCTACGACTTGAAGGGTTTTTGTCTAGAGTAAAAAAGTATGAAAGATCTTTGGGGGCCGCCAGCCACGCATCCGCTTTGAGAGCTAGATCAGATAAGCTCAGCTGGCATTTTGGTCGGAAAGACCACATCGAACAGCTCCAACGGGACATTCATATCTGTCACAGTATCATCAGCCTACACCTAGCCCAATATAGTCTTGAGCGCTTGGAGACTTTGCGCCTAACGAACCAAATCGACTTTTCGCATACCTCCGAACAGCTCCATCACGCACAGACCGTTCTTGAGCACATGAACAGAGAAAATGTGAGCCAAGCAGCCGTGTTGAGTGATGTCCGAACATTGCTTCAAGACATACATCAGTTCGTCTTTGGTGACATCAAATCGTATTTGATTCGTCTCTTCCAGCTCATTAGCAGTACCCTGTACGTACCATAATAACGATATGGCTTAGACCTGAACTGACGGTCCAATTCAGTACTTCAACGCAGCAAATTTACGATGTTTTGCTTGATATTCGAAACATGATATCAGTAGATACACGCTGGACATTCTTCCAAGCTCCTTTGGAAGTCGAAGATGCCTTCGGAGTCAGATTCCCCATCCCAACCGAGTACGACTACGGCTTGATTGATACAGTCATTCGCTACCGGTTCAAAATTGGTGGAGGAGCTATGGAGGTGAGCGCGGGGAACTACGAACTGTGTAGGAAACAGAACCGTTTTGACATCATCAACGAGTCCTCACGTTTACAGCCTGGAACGGCTATTACGATGTTCATCATCATAAGCATGCGGATCGACAAGGAGGCAGTATGGCCTATGCCTCGTTGTGAGTCCGCAGAGGTTATCCCGTCCCCTGGGGGCGGGTCTGTATGGTAAGCATAAACCGATCCGTCCGCAACAGTTCACTAATACTATGGATATAGCTCGAACCGTGATGTGGAATACTATCAGGCCAACGGCATGTTAGCCAACATCGAGGAAACCCTCAGCAACAACACGAAGTCATTCCCCTTGAAACAGCTTGTGTATACCAGCGATCAACCATCCAACCTTGTCTCTTACAACATTCTGGAGCGAACCACACGACGAAACGTCCGATATGATCCGTTTGGAAACTACCCTTCACCCTACATTCCAGTTATTCAAGCTATCGCTAAGATGGAAGGTGTTATATCCTGTGCTAGCGTCTCTATAGGAGGCGTTGTGGATGGTAGGTTCTTTGCGACGGTTCAAATGGAGCTTGAGCATGACATCGAAGATAAACCACCGCGTTGTGTGGAGGTCGGACGCTTGCTTTCCAAGTGCCTCGACCCATGGGGAATTGATTCGTGCAGTGTTCATTGTCACGTTGATGGCAAACATATCGACAATGGGGCATAACAGACGTATTGCAGTATGATATATCAACAAGTATACAGTGCTTTTTTTGCAGGCATCAATTTTGAGAGCGGACAACTAGTCGTGACTTCTTGTCTTACCACGTGACGCACCTGCACTTTTCACTTCAGCAGGCCTGCGCTTTCCTGGCGTCTTTGTTGTCGATGTCGCTAAGTACACATTTCAGTCGCAAACCAGCCGTCTTCATTGACGCTTCGCCATCTCCATTTTCGTGATGTAGGCTGTTGGTGCCCAATGAGTCTGCCTGCAGCAAGGCTGGGAGTGGTGGCGGAATGCTTGACCTGCAGCACAGCCCCCCAAGCTGGCGGTTTCGCTCACCAAGCTTGTTTATGACCGCGCAGCAGTCGCATACCTCGAATCTTTCCTTTCTCCGTTTCGCACTCCGTACCTAACATAAGGCAAGTCGTTCGGTGCTCTCATACTCTACCACCTAGGTATCTAACCATTAACAGATAGAACTGCGACGACCACTGCACTCACCACACGACCTACTCGGGTAGACACGCCTCGCGTCACTTACATCGCACGGGCATGCCTTTCAGTGTCGGTATCGGAGATGTCATAGCCGTCGGCAAACTGATCAAAGACATCACTGACAGTCTGCGATCTGCTGGTGGAGCAAAATCGGAATACCAGGAACTCACCAAGGAGCTTGAGGCGCTCAAGGCTGCCCTAGATGGTCTAGACCAGCTTGACAGCAGCACAGCCCCCTCAGCACTTCTTGACACAATCAAGTTCATCGCCGCGGACTGTCGCCAACGACTTGAAGTGTTCTGGGCGAAGATCGAGAGATACGGGTCTTCCCTAGGCCCCGCAAGTCAATCCAACGCTCTGAGAAGTACCATGGATAAGCTCGGCTGGACGTTCTTCCAGAAAGAGGAAGTTGTGCAACTTCAGAGAAATCTCCAATCCTACAGCAATGTCATCAACATACTCATGATACGGCATGTCGCGGGACAGGTGCAGGATATGAGGAAGGATACAGGTGCACTATGTACACGAATTGCCGAACAGATTCGTGACACACATGACACTCTCACAGACGTTGGCAAGGAAGTATCGAGCCAAGGGGTTGTAGCGAGCAACATTCAGACACTAGTCACTGGCCTGCATCAGTTCATATTCGGCGAGGTCAGATCATTCCTGGCCGACTTCGGGCAGTTGGCGAACAAAGTCTTGTATGTCTATTCCCTTCATGTATACTAGAGGAGCTATCGACTAATCAACAAGCATATAGTGCCTCAACCCAGCAAATATATGCTGTGGTTCTCGAAATCCGGGATTCAAGAAGAGCATTAGACACCGGCTGGGCATTCTTTCAAGACCCTTTCGTCGTCGAAGATGCGTTTGGACACAAATTCCCGATACCATCAGAGTTTGATTTTGATTTACTGGAACATTGCATTCGTCATCGTTTCAAAGAGGGTGCCGCCTCCCAAGATGTTGCGCTGGGCAATTATGAGCTTCTCAGATCGAAAGAAAGGTCATCAATCATCACATCAACTTCTCAACTGTTACCAGGAACATCCATTGTAATGGTAGTCATCGTACGGACAGGTAAAGAGAAGCTATGTCCCACACCTCGGTGTACTTCGCTTCAAGTTCTCCCATGTCCTGATGGGGGCTTCACATGGTAAGTTGCACGATTATCAGGCTTTCCAGTTAGTACTGATAGCAATATCAAAGCTATGAATGCGAGATATGGTTCGAAGCCATTGTGCGAGCAGATAAAGAGAAGTTCTGTCCCATGCCTCGGTGCACTTCGGTTCGAGCTCTGCCATGTCCTGGCGGGGGCTTCACATGGTAAGTTACACGATTATCAGGTTTTGCAATTGATGCTGATAGCAATATCAAAGCTCTAAATGCGAGGTATGGTTTGACCAAGGCACAAAGAGACATAGGTTTAGCGATGTTGACGAGCCCTCCTCCTCCATGGCTAGTCCTTCCTTTAATGACCCTGTACGGTCTCCAGACCGCGGTGTCTCCGACATGGAAGACAGAAGGTCTCGCAGTGACCATCAGAAGAAGCAATCGTTCAAGAACGTGAAGATTGCGCACCTGGACTTTCCAACCCACGCGAGAAACAAACCGCGCTACTTGTGGCCAAGACCAGGACAGTGCAGACCTGAGCCGTCTCGCGGAGTTGCATCTGTACCGCGAGCTCAAGCAGAGCGTCCTTGGTATGTCACTCCCCAGTTTTCCGCTGCCGGAAGGCGCTGTAGCAGACTCTGCAATACTGACTGCGCAACAGAATACATCATCGACTTGTACCAACCAGCCTACCCCAATAACCATGGCTTCTCCATCCTCATCTGCCGCCACGTATTTGACCGCTCCTCTTCCATCCCCGCTGCTGCCGCCTTGGGCCGCCGCAACGATAGAGCAGACGAGTTCATCATGATCCGCGCGGTTACACTCAGCGAGCCCGGAACGAAGAAGTGGACGCTCGTGGCTGAGAGCAGCAGGGCGTGCTTCGGTATCGTACCTGCGTTGCAAGAATTCTCGAAAGACTTGGAGCGCCAGATGGGCAACATGACGGCTTCGATGACGGTGGACAAGAAGAGACAGCGGAATGAGAGGGATGAGGGCTCAATTGATCAGGGTGAGTACATGTCAGGACGTTCGCGCAAGAGGCAGAGGGAGAGATCATGACATGGGCTGGCAGCGGCGAGCAGCTTACACTAGTGACATGACTCGGATGTGATGAAAGGTCTGATGGCAGAAGGCGAGATATTTACAGTTTACTATACGTTAAACGACAATGCAGAGATGGTCGTTTCGGATATCGAGAAGACGATTGGAAAGGTTGGCGCACTTGTGTGAAACGATGCGCCTAGTACGATGTCAAGAAACTGGCCTCACCTAGGCAGATCGTAGTAACTAAAAATGGCACATCATGAAGATATATCGTCATTTACGTGATAAAATTCAAGGAAGAAAAGTATGTAGTTGGGCATCTTTTGACAACTGACAGGTAGTACCCGGTTTTTCCGTAGTTCGGGCCAATGTTCAGGTGTCAGCCCACGGATTGACAGGTGTATCCTCGCATGTTCGCTGGAGTTCCATGTGCCTGCCACGGGTGCCGGCCAATAACAGCCGACTCACGTGGCGTTCTGTACATAGCACCCCTACACACAATGGCACCGGGCTTCGTCATCGAGCCTGAGTGCTGCCGAGCTGGCCAGGTGCAGCACCGAAACTTGGAAGAACGACTGAGACGCAGCGAGACATGTGGAGTTGAAAGACGCCGCCATGCAGATGGGCAGAATAAGCATTACCTCACGGCAGCTGTCGTTGGGGGCGTCGCAACGTAAGATGGACAGAAGTGAGGCACCGGTCAGGTTCCGGAGGCGGCCGGAGAGGGGCTATGTCGAGCAGCACGTTGAACATGTTCGCAGCGAAAAGACCCCCAAAGGGTGCGTCGGTGAGGGATGCCGGTCAGAAAAGCTGCGCAAATCATGAGACCTAGCCGGGTTGGACAGGCGCTTCTCGTTGGGCGCAGCAGGTGGTGGCAGAAGAATTGGGCTTGGCTGCCCGGCTGGCGGCAATGACATCACTCGCACGCTCTGTACCCTCAAGACGGCTGCCCACCCCAGCCTCAAGCAAACGGTAATATCTACGCCACCCCACCTGCACCGAGATAGATCCTTGGGACCCAAGCCAAACGGACAGTCATCAGCCCTGGCCCTCCCGAGTCGACAACCTGTTAAATACCACTGCCTGCCTGTGCCCTGCGCCGCTCGACACCCCATTCCCCTACCCACTTTGTCCCGTCACTTCGCAGGCACCTTATTCTTCGTTGCGACAGCCCACCAGCCTCTCACTTGCGCTAGCAGCCAAGTAAACTCTATCTGAACAAAGCGACCACTCGGTATGTTTGCACGCCGCCACTCTCTTTTTCCCCTCGCGCGCCCGCTAACCCAGCCCTGCGCAGAATACCGGACTGGATACGACCCTTCCTGCTGCCGGACCCCTAGAGCCACAATCGCCCACGGCGGTATAGAGCACCACCACCATCACTATGTCTGAGTACAGCTACGCACCGCGGCACCGTACGCGGGAGCCCGAGTACGTCACCGAGACGACGTACATCGAGCGCGGCGGCCGTGGAGGCGGGGCACGAGATCTCGTCTACCGCCCCGCAGCGCGCGAGGACAGCATCGAAGAAATTCCCCGCGACTTCCCTCCCGGTGCCGAGTATAGGCAGACCAAGTACCGCGAGGAGTATGCGCCGCCCCGCCGCACCCGCTCAGTGAACCGTGGCTACGACGACGACTACTATGACCGTCCCCGCCGACGTGACCGCGACTACGATGACCGTTCCGAGTACTCCGAGCGCCCCAACATGCAGCGCCGCAAGTCCATCGTCGACAAAGTCAAGGACTTCGGCGAGTCAGCAGGCCTAGGCGGCATCATCGGCGCCGTCACTGGCGGCGGTCGTGACCGATCGCGCTCCCGCCCTCGTCGAGACGACCGTGGCTATGATAGCGACAGATACGGATACTACGACGAGCGCGACCGCCGCAGCAGCCGTTACGGATCACGTTCGCGCAGCCGCAGCCGAGGAGGACACAAGTCTGAGAAGTGGGAGCAAGCCGCCAAAGCCGCTATCGTCGCCGGTGCCGTCGAAGCCTTCCGCAGCCGCAAGGAAGCCGGTCCATGGACCGGTGCCAAGGGCCAACGTGTTGCAACTGCCGCTCTTGGTGCTGCCGGTATCGACGGTCTTATCGACAGAGACCCCGGCAAGCACGAGAAGAGGCACGTCGCCGAGTCTGCACTCGGTGGTCTTGTCGCTTCTCGCCTAGCCAACGGCTCCCGCTCGCGCTCTCGTGCTCCTCGTGGCCGTGACGACTCCAGGTCTCGCTCCCGTTCTCGTGCCAGGTCCAGGTCCAGGTCCATCTTCGGACGCTCCCGTTCTCGTGGCCGCTCCCGCTCCAACTCCAGCGACAGAGGAGGAAACAACGGTATCGCCAAGGTAGCTGGTACCGGTGCTGTGCTCGCAGCAGGCAAGGCTCTATACGACCGTGTGCGCTCCAAGTCTCGTGCTCGAAAGGACCGATCCCGCTCTTCCAGCTCGGACAGCTACGTGCCATCACGTAGGGGCAACCGCCGCTCGTACAGCCGAGGCCGCGGTATGGACGACCAGTATTCCGAAGCCCCTTCCAGGACTAACCCAGATCGCAGACTAGCCGCCGCCGGTGGGGCAGGAGCGGGTGCTTTAACAGCACAGAATGGAGGAATGGATCGGGGTCGACGGGATTCTAGCGCGGATTCCGAGTCGTCCACCGATATGGAGGAGAAGCGCAAGAAGCTACGAGGTAAGGAACTCCTCACTGCGGGTCTAGCCACTGTGGCCACCATCCACGCCGCCCACGGAGTCTACTCTTCCATGGTCGCCTCAGAGAACCGCCGCAAGCTCGTTGGCGAGGGCGAAATGACGGCCGAAGAAGCGCGCAAACGCAAGTCCAAGAACATGCTCCAGGACGCCGCCGCCGTGGGTATCGCCGCCCTCGGTATCAAATCCGCCTACTCGGAATGGAAAGAGATGAACGAGCAACGCCACAGCGTCAAGGAACTCGAGACGCGCCGCCGCAAGAGGAGAAAGCTCCGTGAACGCCGCGAAAAGGAAGCCCGGATGAACGCCCTCGGTGGCAACATGAATGGTGCAGCCGCTAATCCGTACGCATATCCTGTAGCTGCCAACCAATCCTACCCTACGTCCTATGCCGATGCGAATCCCTACGGTAGCTCGGTCCCGCCCCCTCCCATGGGTGCGAGGTACTAGAGCTTCTTTTCTTTGGTTTACTCACGATGGTTATTCACGACACGGCCGACTTGGTTACTTGTACTGCGGTGGTTGATAGAAGTATTGTTACATACCTTTTTTTTATTCTGTCTTTCAGAAAGCTTGGTTAAGCGAGGAGGTGAATGTTATTGTTCTTCTTTTTGAGCAGCTCCATTCTTTTGTTTTTGCAACTCTGATGATTGACGATGGAGGGGGGCAACTTCTTGCGTTCGGAAGGAAAGAGAAGAATTGTTTTTTGGTTGATGCGACAATCGAGTCTTCTGGCTCATACATGAATGATTCACGACATGACTTTACGAAATGAAGATAGGTATGAAATGGAAAATGGTCTCTTTGTACATGCTCTCTAGTTTGCACGTTTTTGTTTGAGACTTCGTGATGTATCTTGACGAAAGACCAAGCTCAGCTGCGACATGTTCGCTTTTGGGTTGGTACATTCACAGATTCGATATCATGCGGACGAACTCTTGCACACGACCATTGAACAGAACTTTTGATTCAGGAAATCCGTCCTACTCCCAAATCTCCAAAAGCTAAGAGAAAGAGGCTATGTGATATGTGATGCCAAACTAAGATAAGCAAAGGGAAATGTCCAGGCATCCAGGCCTTGAAGACTCCGCCACCGGAGGTATGTGAATATAGTCGAACGCCAGAGAATGTGCAGGGGAGATAAGGTAGATGACCAAAAGATATACAAAGGGGATATGTGTTATGGAATGGAGGACCAAAACCAAGTTGCCGTCGACATGATGTGTTTCGCCGTTCAAGCACCCTCGTCGTCGCTGATGTCTTCGTCAAAGTCGGGTTCGTCGACCGCCCAGAGGATGAAGGGGCCGTTGTACTCCATCTAGCGTGTGTTAGTACATGTCCATCGAAAGCAGGAATGACATGTCATGGGCAGGTGGTACTTACATCATTACGACCTGGCTCTGATGCAAACCACCAGCGGCCTAGGATGATGCGGCCACCAGGCAAGACAACGCCCTCATACGCCCACAGGTTGTCCTCGTTGGGGTGGTCGTAGTCCTCAGTGAAGTGCTTCATGAATGTGATGCGCTGCCAGCCCGGGACACCACCTTGAGGAGGCAGCGGGTTGAGCCAGCCAAGGGCCTTGTATTCGTCATCGAGGTCTTCGCCCTTGCCCTCAAACTGAATGCTACCTCCTGTAGTTGCCTTGGGGGCGGTGTTTCGACCCTGAGTCTTGATGCCTTGCTGCTTTCCAGCGTCCTTCCCAAGCGAGCGGAGGCGGTCTTCGAAGACGGGTGGCCATGGGAGCTCACGACCATCGGGTAGGCGACTGTCTTCTGCGAAAGCAAGCTCAAGAGACTGCATGTGATCAGTAGGGTTCGTAAAGGCCATTCCCAATTGGAAATCTACCTGGATCTTGCCCTCGTCCACGTTCTTGTCAATGAAGACCTGTCTGCCTGGTCCCTGCTTTCGCAGCTTCTGAACCTCAATGTTCTCGAGGAAAGAGTAAGTGCCTTTCCAGTACCTGCTCAAAGGCTTGGCTCCGTCAGTAAGTTGTTCCCGCCATGCCGAAGGCTTTTGGGTAATGTCTAGCTCATCGATCCTGTCGAATAATGTTTGGGCATCTTCATTCATCATGTGGTGACGGAAGAAGTTCATCGCGTGGAGCATCCACCTAAGGTTCAACTTGTTGTGGTCGACTCCAGTGAAGAGGCGTTCCTTGTCAGATGAGAGGTAGACAGCGTGCTGTGAGTCCTCGAAAGCAAAGACATCATGTCGCAAGCCTTCGAGGTTGAAGATGAACTGCGAGCACATGAGCCGGACAGCGGCAAGCCCATCGTCGATATAAGCCATCTTGCCGTTTTGGGTCTCAGGGGCCCGTCGGTCGTTGTTGAGGATATGGGATTTGAGAATGAAGTCGACAATGTGGGCGTGGTTCTTGCAACGAAGACGGCCATGCTCGTCAACTTCGGTAGCTCCTTGATAGGATTCTGTATTCGTTAGCACACGAAAATTGTGTTCAGTTCCTGGGTATTTCCGACGTACCAAT